TAAAGATCTTCTTCTATAGTTTGAATAACTTTGCAAAGATTTTCTATAGATTGAATGCCCTCCACAAATTTTTAATAAAAAAAAAAACTAAAAATAAAAACCTCTCATTCATCTTGTGTAGTTAAAGTGCCCTTCGGAGGACATCTTTGGATGTAAGACCATTTAAAGGTATTCTATAGATAGAAGACTCTCCACAGGTCTTCCATTTAAAGGACTTCTATAGTTCACAATAAAAATCCCTTTCACAGGATCCTATATCTAAATGGCTGATGATTCTTCAAAAGAACTCAATATAAAGAAATCACAAAGGGCTATTTTTAAATAGAAGACACTTCAAAGTTATTCTGTAGATAAAAAGCCTTTCCACAGTCCATACATCAGTAGTAGATGGAAGACTAACTATAAGTTTTCTTAAGATAGAAAACCACAGCTCAATGGTTCTTTAAATGTTCGGTTCTTTAAAGGTTCACCAGTTCCTAAAGGTATGAGTGATTTTATAAATTTTATATCACTCATACGCAGAGAATTTTCATACAAACGGACGGAGATCACGGAACTAGAAGGAATGCCCTCCCCAAGACTTCTATTTATAAGAATTTGCCCTATGATTTTTTTATCGAGACAAAATCTTTGCTGAATGACGTTTGACAAACTTAAACTTAAAAACTTAAAATTAACAAAACATCATTTTATCATATCATATTAATTGGAAAATGTCAAAAAATATTGAAGGATGGGAACTTTCCCCATCTCTAAGGGTACATTGCGAGGGAAATGTTCAAAACGCCGATACACGTGTCGTTTATACTTAGTTTTGTTTTCATAATTTGTGGAGTTTTTCCTCTAATTATTTTTGTGTTGAACACGATTTTGTATCGCCAATTAGATTAAATTATTCCATGCAATCAATATTTCCAGAATATTCATCTATATTTATAGAAGCAAATTATGCTGAATTCTAGTTCTTGGAATTTATTTACGCCTCTGTGTTGTTGGCTGACCAAAATCAATTGTGAATTCATTCAAAGCTATAATTTCACCCCGAAAAATACTTCTGCTCTATTTCACCAGAAATTACTCAAATTTGTTTAGCAATGCTTTCCTCCTTCGATTCCTGCGAAAAGGATTTTGAATGCGATGCGCGATGAAAACCAAGTAAATAAAAATGTTTACCTTTGGCGCTCCCCATTTGCCATAAATAACAAAAAAAAATATTATCCTTTACCTTCTTGCTAATTATTCTGGCCAAATACACCCCGGGGATAATTTGAGTGGAACAAATAATAAATATTTATTAGTTGTATTTATTACTTCAGCTTGAAAGAAACAAAAAAAAAACTGGGGCACTCATCGTCATGGGGGCAACTAAAATAACTGGAGGTTAGAGGAGTGGAAGGATGTTTGGCATTCGTATTCGCAGGCGAATGATTGAAAGTTAGGTGAAATGTTGGTTATTTACAAATCATCAATGTTAATGATTTTGTCAGGGGCGTAGCTAGAATTCTTTATGGCACTTTTGGTTATTTTTTCTTGGCACCAAAAAATGGTGGGTGGTTTTGGATCTACTTCCTTTTTTCTGAAACTGTATAGAAAATATTTATTTTTTTTTTGGCTCCCAAAAATGTTTGTCCCTTCCATCATCTGCGTCCGTGTCTTCCACTCCATTGCGAATTCTTCACTCATAACTTGGCCAATATTTCAATATTATTTATTTAACTGGAATTTATGAATGTTAATTCATCTTTCCCTGCAATGTTCTGTGTACCGTAGCAATTTATGATGGATATTTTGGTATTTATTCTTAGAAAATGCCAACCCTCACGAATATTTATGAGAGGTGGAATTATTTGTAGGTTAGCAAAAAGAAAACAAATTCCAAATAAATTTTGATACCCTACACCACAAGGTGGTCAGGGTATTATGTTTTTGTGTATTTGTTTGTAACAGGCAAAAGAAAACGAGATAGACCCATAGTTCCTTTTGATGATCTGCATAGAATCACATTCTGAATCGATTTACGAATGGCCGACCGTATGTCATGTATTTTTGTGAACAAAGTACAGTTCGCATTTACTACCCTATCCAGGTGAAATTTTGCACAGTTCATTTGTCTGGCCCAATGACGAACCCTATTGAAATTGGAGATAATCGGTCAAAATTTAGATGTAGCTTCCATATATATCTTCGTCCGATTTGCCTTTTATTGTGCACCAAACGTGTAATATCAGTCCGAATAGTATGGAATTTTGCACATACAACCAAATTAGTCTTGAAAATAAGTATGCCAAATTTGATCGAAATCGGTTCAGATATAGCTATAGCTCCCATATATATTGGTCATCCGATTTGTTATATTTGTCCTCCGCAGCCGTAATATGCACTCTGTAACAACAATATTTAAGGACATATATCAAATACAGCTCAGAAATACCTTTGCTAAATTTTATCGAGGTCGGTTCAGATTTGGATGTAGCTCTCATATATAACTTCGTCCGATTTACCTTTGATTGTGCACCAAACGTCTAATATTTGCCCAGATTGTATGAAATTTGGCACTTACGACTTAATTGAGTCTAGAAGGTGGTATGTCAAATTTGGTGAAGATCGGTTCAGATATAGCTATAGCTTCCACATATATTGTTCATCCGATATGTTGTATTTGTTACCCATAGTCGTAATATGCACTCCGTAACAACGATATTCAGGGAAATATATGAAATACAGCTCAGAAATATCTTTGCAAAATTTTATCAAGATCGTTCAGATTTGGATATAGCTCTCGTATATATCATATGGGTAATACATGTCCGAATTTTAAAGATACAAATGCTTCGGCATATTAAGTCTTTTGAACTTTAAATTATAATTATAATCGTAGCGTGTGTGATTGAATTCTCCCATAAAAACTTTTAATTATTAAGTGAAGCTCAACTAAATTAGCAAAGTGGTGTAGGGTATCATAAAATCCGCCCCGCCCGACTTTAGGACTTTCATTACTCGTTATATTTAAATTATAATTTAGAACAAAAAACTAAGCCTACTCGAAGAGTTCACCATGAACACGAAGAAATGTAAGCATGAGACAATTTGAAGCATTTAAAATACCTCAATAAAGGGATGGACCTTTAGGTGACACAACAAGAGATTAATATTTGAACTTATCAGTAAATTTGACAATGACGTATGATTTCGTTCTCCAATAAAATTACTCATACGTTCATAACAAAATAAATTACGAAAAATTGGATCGGCAAAGGTGCAAATCCGTTCCCTGACATTCTGAAAGGGAGCATCCGAATTGGTGTAACCTTGCCATTTTTTTAATATTTCTATCCGGCGTTGGAAAATGTTACAACATTGCTCCAACACATATGAAGGTTAAACCTTCACACATCGTGAATATGAGTAAAATAGACCCACTTTTCTGGATTTTTGAAGAAAAATAGTGGAAATATTTTAAAAACATGAAAACATGTTTTTTTTTTTTTTTTAATCAATTCAAGAACTTCTAATAATAATACTAATCTATATAAATGGTGAAACTTTTAAGTATATTTTCACAGGGTACAATTGGACGAGTATGCTAAATGTGAATAAATCATTTGTGTCTCGTACTATCGCTCGTTACCGTGATACGGGTAGCGTAGCCCATCGTCAAGGAAGTGGACGAAAGAAAACAGCAACATCAGCAGAAATGGTTCGCAAAGTAAAGAAGCGACTTGATTGAAACCCACGTCACTGTGGCCGAAAAATGGCTCGTGAGCTGAACATATCGCAATAAGCGATTCGGCAAATATTAAAAAAAGAGCTCGGGGTTAAGCCATTGACGATTTTGGGTAGAATATTTGCCGAAATTGTTTGAAATTTCGTATTTGAAGTTCCTAATAGATTTTAACTTCAATATTCACCTGATTTTTTTTTTTTAAATATCGTATTTGAATATTGTAATGGCTTATGACAAAAGTTGCCTATGCAGATCCACGTCTTCGTATAGACCCCAATATAACAGCTTTTTCGGTGAAAATTTCCAAATTGGTTCCAAATGTTGGAGGGTATTCAGAGTTCGACACGGTCGAACTTACCGCTTTTTTACTTGTTTCCTTTAACAGTGTTATATATAGATAATATTCCGCATTATTCTTCATCTATGTACATTCTGTGAAAAGTTTTTGATTAAAAATAATTGATTCCACTTGATTTATGCAAAAGTACAAAATAAATTGTCATAACATAAAATTCTTTGAATTTTCAACCAATGATAACTACTTAGTCAATTACGCACACACACACAAATACATCTCTCATAATGTTATGATGATGCACTGTCAAGTGCACGCACACATACATTTATCTCTCTCTCCGTCTGATTTCGTTTTTTCAATTACTGATTGTGTGCATAGCATAAGGATATACATATGTATGTATGCTGATAAGGACATGTGTATGTGTTCATAAGGACATGTGTTTGCTTGTGCGTGTTTGTATGTGTTTTACACAATTCAAAACATAAATTGTTGTTATGAAAATGACACATTTAATAAAAGTTTGAAAATGGTTATTGTTTGGTTGGTTGGATGGTTTGGTTCGTTGGCGGTTAAGTCTTTACCACCGGCAGCAGCCTCCATCACTACCCCAAACCAGCAGCCAACAATGTCAGTGTCATCAACCACGCAACAATGCCATAGAAAGTTCTCCGAACACAATCGTGGAAACAATCAAAACCAAAGCAGAAAATAAACGAGAGAACAAACGAACGAATGTCATTGTCATAGATAGTCTGACACAAATTTTGATAGATTTGTTATCAACCAGTCCGTCCGTCCGTCACACCGACCGTACAAGAAATGTCAGTTGCCTTGAATGTTGTACAAATGTGGGATAATGGTGTGGTTGTGTCGCAACCAAGTTGTATGTTATTTCTGAATGTGATTGCACATACGAACATATGTCTTTTGATATGAAATTAACCGTTTAACATAAATTAAATTTATAAATTCTAGACGAAGCATTGGTCAATAAAGTTCCTAAATAAAATAAGTCAGGAAGTCCTTAAAATTCTTTATGTTCGATATGATGGCATGAAATCCCTGAAAACATTCTGAAAATCGATGATTATTTGCAAGGAAGTTTTTTCCCAAATTCCTTGGAAACATTCTCAATTTCTGTCCAGAGGTAAGTCGTCGATCATTTATAACAATCATATGCGCTCAAAATGTTTAGTTTTTATTATTCTCAAAGGTCGGTAAAAATTTTCAAAAAATCCACTATCTTTAAAAAAGTCTTAATATTGGTCAAAAGTCAAACCAAGTAAATCAGGAAGTCCTTAAAAATATTATTACAAAATACACGATATGGAATGATGTCCTTAAAAATATTTTGGAAAAGCGGTATTTATGTGCAATAAATATTAATTTCTTGGAAAAATCCTCAAAAAACTTGAAAATATTCCTTCAAAATCCACCATTTTCCTTAAGGCGACACTTGAATATAATTTCTTAAAAAATTCACGATTTTCGCCAAAGAGCTCCTTAAAAATAAGCAATATCTTCCACGATTTTCGCCAAAGCGTTAAAAAAAATGAGGATAGAAATATTCCATAAAAAGTCTTTAAAAAAAATTTTCTTTGAAAATCCATGTTTTGCGGGAGATATTTGAGAAATGTGCCTAAAAAAAAGCGAGATTTTCGTTTAGAGACCCTTAAAAATTGTCTTAAAATGTATGATATTTTTCGTTAGGCTGGGCTTAGAGTATAATAAAGAAAGTAGTTTTTTGCCTGAAAATCTTATAAATATTCTTAACAAATCCACGATTTTCGGTAAGGACATTTTTGAAAAAATTCCTTTGAATATTTACGAATTTTAGTTAAGAAGCGATTTTTAAAATTTCTTATAAAAATGCACGATACTATATATATAAAATAGATTTTTACAAAAAAATCTTAAAGATATTCTAACATACCCAGTATTTTTGATTAGGTGGTCCATGAAGACATGCTTTAAAAGCTTCTTCTGTTTTTGTTCAGAAAGACAAAATTGTCGATTTCGATCTTTGTTTTGGCAGACCAAGCAAAATATATTCTTTAAAATATCACGATTTTCCGCAAGAGGTCTTTTAATTTTTTTATACCCTCAGAGGGTATATATCATTTGAAACGGACAGAACGTCTCTTTGATCTCTTTGGTCTCTTTGGACCAAATCCATTTCAGGACATTTAGAGTTGATCTGGCGATGTCCGCCCTTCCTACCGTCCGTCTGTCTGCTTGGTGCGTACGATAACACTTTTTAGTTCGAACTTTGGTAAATCGTAATATTATTATCCAACTTAGATCGAGTTTGGAGATGGGTAATATCGGTCCACTCCTTCTGGAAATCGAATTTAAAAAATTTTGCTCCATTCCTTCTGGTACCTCCTCTACAAGGGGTCAAATTTTTGAATATCCATTAAGGTCATAAAACTCGAAATAAGCATCAGTTTTTTTATATTTCACATATCCCATTATTTCTACTACCATCAGGTCTGCTGTGAAGATGGGATATATCGGCGCACTCCTTCTGGCACCTCCTCCACAAAGGGTCAACATTTTGAATATCCACGAAGCTCATAAAACGCGAAACTAACATCCGATTCCAATCGGACTTGGCACATCTAAATATATACACCAAACCAAAATCTGTTATAAAGATGGTACAGATCGGACCACTCCTCCTGGTACCTCCCCCACAAAGGGTCAAAGTATTGAATAACCAAAACGATTATAAAATCCGAAATAAGCAGTATGTTCTCTTCCTATTTTACACATTCTATTAATTCTGCTAACTTAAGATCTGCTCTGAAGATGGGTCGACTATATCTGATTCGGTCGACTATATCTGGTACCTCACGCACATGTTAACATTATTATCACATGTCTCTTATAAAGTGAAGGAAGTAGTCTGTGTAGTCCAAACCTGGCACGTCACAATATTTATATCATATTTATTTAGGTTCGATAGGAAATGGACAATATTGGCCTATTCCTTCGGTACCCACTCCATAGAGGGTCAAAATATTTTAAAATAATCGTACATTGGCTGAGGTATACATCTATCAGCAAAACCGATCAATACTTTTTTACTTGTTTCTTTGCAATATTGCCGAAGACACTTTATACCTCAAGTCAACGGATTCCAAGAAATCTCAATCCAAATATTTCAAAAAATGTGGAAGAGAAGGAACTTTCACCCTCTATTTCGGTAATTTTGCGCTCTTACATGCGCCTTCTCGATCCAAGTTGGATAGAAATATTAAAATATGACAAGATTACACCAATTCGGACGCAGCCTTTTCAGAATTGCAGTGCGCACTCTACAAGCAGATGGACTCGACTCCAAATTTCCTGAAAAGGATTGGTTCCAAACACAAATGACGTCGTTATTTTCATGAGGGACAGCATGATATATTCCCTACCTTGCTACATGGTTGTGGGTATAAATAAGTAAATATACAGGATGAGATAAAAAAAACTGTACATTTTTTTTAAATTTTATTGAATGAAAGCAAAAAATGCCGGAAATAGCATCAAATTTTTGAATAAGCGTACATTTGTTCGAACTTGTCACCTTTAGCACGAGTTATGGCCTTCGAAACCATCACACGGTGCCCGATTTTTGTTCTGCAGTATTTTGGCCCATTCTCGGCGAAGCGCTTGCTTGAGTTGATCGACACTTTGGTATTTTTTAGAGCCAACCTTGCTTTCCAAAATCCTCCAGACACAATAGTCCAACGGATTGGTATCCGGATATTTTGGTGGCCATTGTGCGCGGGAAATAAAGCGAGGAACCTTATTTTGTAACCATTCTTGTGTGGCGCTTACTGAGTGCGATGGTGCTGAGTCCTGTTGGAATTTTCAAGTTCTGTGGCCAACACGTTTGCGTGCCTAAGGCTTTAATACACCTTCTTGCGATAATATTCGGCATATTTATTCTGATGCCACTGTCGATTAATACGTGCGGAGAGCGACCATCGGCTGTTATTTTCGCAATAATATTCGGCATTTATTCTGATGCCACGGTCGATTAATACGAGCGGAGAGCGACCATCGGCTGTTATGGCGGCCTACACCATCACCATGGCCGGCGCTTGAGTTCTGGCGGCCAACCGAAGGTGCACATTTTCGCCTGACCTCTTTGCCAAATAAGCACAATCATTTTGATTGTTTACAAACTGCTGGACAACGAATGTTTTCGCATCGGAGAAAACCAAATTCGGCAGTTCCCCACTCTCGGCCAAGCAACCGAAGCAACTCTTTAGCTCTTTTGCGTCCATTTTCTTTCTGTTGCTGTGTAAGTTCTTGCACTTTTTGGAATTTCAATGGCTTTACCCCGAGCTCATTTCTCAATATTTGCCGAATGGTTTATTGCGATATGTTCAGCTCACGAGCCATTTTCGGCCACTGGGACGCGGGTTTCGATCAAGTCGCTTCTTTACCTTTCTAACCATTTCTGCTGATGTTGCTGTTTTCTTTCGTCCACCTCCTTGAGGATGGGCTACGCTACCCGTATCACGGTAACGAGCGATGATACGAGACACAAAAGATTTATTCACATTGAAATGCTGGAGTGCTCTAACGATAGCCACTTGTGGCTTTCCAGACAAATATAAAGAAATCACACTATCACGCTTGAATTCCATCACGAATAATTTTTTTTCTGATAAATTCTCACCAAAATGCTTTTGTACGCTTGTAAACAATATAATGAGCTATGACTGGAATCATTTTAACAGCTGTCGGACGAGTGGCTTAGAAATGACAGCAGTCTGAAGTTGGATACAGTTTTTTTTTGTCCATACCAATATTTTTATCTGTATGATGAGAGGAAGTATGAAGGTGGAATATTTCGGTCGACTATATCTGGTACATCATGCATGCGCACTTTAACATTTTCTAAAAATTATCACATATCTCATATAAAGTTAAGGATGTAACAAAATAAAGTCGAAATCTGGCACGTCGAAATATTTTTATACCATCTAATATTCTATGGAGGGTATATTAACTTTGTCATTCCGTATGTTACTCCTTGAAATATTCATAATAGACCCTACAAAGTATATATATTCTGGATCAGCGTAAAATTCTAATTCTAAATTTTGTCTGTCCTTCTGTCTGTTGTAATCACGCTATCTTTCGAACGAATTGAGATAAAAGGCTAAAATTTTGCATACATGCACAGTTTACCAGTAGGCAGGTTAAGTTCGGAAATGACAAAAAATTTTGTGTGCAGATCCAAGTCTTCGTATAGATCCAAGACCCAAGTCTTCGTTTCAAATTTCCTACTGGAAGATCCTTATGGGTACTACAACCTATGGCAAAAAATGTTGTCCAGATCTTCGTATAGCCCCCACATAACGGTACCTCCCGATATTCGGTGTTTTCATGATTTTAGCGACATTATTCACCGGAATCGTTTCAAAATTCGTACTTAAAGTTCGTAATGGGTACCAAAAATTTTGTATGCAGGTTTACGTCTTCGTATAGCCCCCCATATAACGGCACCTCCCGATAGACGGTATTTTGACGATTTCAGAAACATTATTTATTGGAATCGTTTCAAATTTCATACTGCAAGATCCTAATGGGTACTACAACTTAAGGCAAAAAATGTTGTATGCAGGTCCAGATCTTCGTATTGCCCCCATATAACGGTACCTTCCGATATTCGGTATTTTCATGATTTTAGCGACATTATTTACCGGAATTATTTCAAATTTCGTATTTGAAGTTCGTAATGGGTACTACAGCCTATAACCAAAAATTTTGTATACTGGTCTACGTCTTCATATAGCCCCCATATAACGGGTTTCATTAAAGTGGTGGTTTTCGGTTTTTTATTTTGAAATTTTTCGAAATGGTGAAGGATATTAAAATTTCTGGCAGGCTGAACTTGGCTGCTTTTTTACTTCATATCATATTTATTTAGATCCAATACGAAATGAACAATATTGGCCATTTCCTTCGGAACCTACTCCATAGAGGTTCGACAATTTGAATAATCATAACAGAAGTCAAAATATACTTAAATAATCGAACATTGGCTGAGGGTATACATCTGTCGACAAAACCGACTGATATATTTTAACTTCTTTTTGATCGTATTTTTCTTGTGCCAGAGGTGGGTCTTTTCGAATTGAAAATAAATGGAATAGTCGTCTATTAAAAATACATTAACAAATATTAGAGGATAGATATTTTGACGTTCCTTAGATATGTTAATCAATACATTGTTGCACCTTATCACTACTAATATTACATCTTATCATGTCATATCTTTGCAGATACAATGATGTTAAAGGCAATTTAGAAGTTCTCTACGCAAGGCAACACCTAAAAACCCCAAACACACAAAAGACAGTACCGTCTCCAACATCATGAGAGGTATGTTGGCTCAAGATGACGCCCTCGTCCCAATTTAAATTCTTTTGGTATTTTTTTCCAGGTCGTCGCATACCATTGGCCCTACCCAATACGGGGACATTGCATCGCAAGCGGAACACCTATTATTTGCGTGGCATTATTGTGATAACCCTTGTAATATTTCTATTCCTGCAGCTGCATGCTTTTAATTTTCGTGAGTAGCAGAAAATGCGAAATTCTGTATTTTAGAAATGATTTTTTATGAAACTAAATTACAGCTGAATCCCGTGATCCTCTGCTAACAGAACCGACCAATGACTCGGTTGATGCCATACTGTCGATGGTGCCATCGGTGCTACACAAATTCCTGCAGCCCAAGACACGTAATCAAACCTTAGCAGCCAGTTGTAAGTATACGAAAAGAAAGGAGAATATTCGAATATTTTAATTATGTATATCCTTTGTCTCTCTTTTTGCCCTCTCACTCTCTCTTCCCTCTCACAGTACACCAAAATGGTACACTAATTAACGGTATGTTGGCCGGTGGAGGTGTCGGTGGTGTTGGTGGCGGTGGTGGCTTGGTTAGTTTTGTCGATTTATATCATCCACCAAATATCAGTGAAATTAAACGACAAATTGCCAAATATAATGACATGCAATTAGTTTTAAATGAATACACCTTTGGTCCGTTACAAAATGATTCTGTGATAATTGTAATACAAGTAAGTGTTTAAGTGTGTGATAATTCTCATTTTCATTTCAATTTTTCTTAAATTAGTTTTAAATGATTATTGGGCCAATAGTGAATAATTTATTCAAAACAGCTGGATATTAGAAATCATTTTTCTGAGAATATATTTTTAAAGGGTAACACAAAACATGGTGAATTTTGAAAGAAGGACTTTTAGAGGAAGGGTTTGAATTTGTGACAATTTTGATTTTTTAGGATAATAATTTGAAGGATGATCAGAGATTAAATCGTGGATTTTAAGGTATATTTTTTAAGGAATTATCACAGCTCCTATCGTGGATTTTTGTTAGAATACTTTTTTAAGGACTATTAAAGCAAAAATATTTAATATCAACTATTTTTATTTGAAGGACTATCTGGGATTTCCAAAAAAATATGAATCGGCTATTTAAACAAGTACAAAAGTAACCAGTAAAGAAAGTCCTAATGTCGGACGGGGTCGATTTTATGATACCCTACACCACTTTGCTAATATAGTAGAGCTCCACATAACAATTAAAAGTTTTTATGGGAGAATTCAATCATACAAGCTATGATTATAATTACAATTTAAAATTCAAAGGACTAAGTATACCGGAGCATTTGTATCTTTTAAATTCGGGCTTGTATTGCCCATTTGGTGCGAAATTAATTTGAAATCAGATAAAAATATATATGGGAGCTATATCCAAATCGGAACCGATCTCGATAAAATTTGGCAAAGATATTTCTGAGCTGTATTTGATATATTTCCCTGAATATGGTTGTTGCAGAGTGCATATTACGGCTGTGGGTAACAAATACTACAAATCGGATGAACACTATATATGGGAACTATAGCTATATCTGAACCGATCTTCACCAAATGTGGCATACTAGCTTCTAGACTCAATTCGGTCGTATGTGCCAAATTCCATCCCATTTGGGCAAATATTAGACGTTTGGGGCACAATCAAATGTAAATCGGACGAACTTATATATGGGAGCTATATCCAAATCTGAACCGATCTCGATAAAATTTAGCAAATGTATTTCTGAACTGCATTTGATATATTTCCCAAAATATTGTTGTTACAGAGTGCATATTACGGCAGCGGAGGACAAAAATAACAAATCGGATGAACAATATATATGGGAGCTATAGCTATATCTGAACCGATTTCGATCAAATTTGGCATACTTATTTGCAAGCCTAATTTGGCTGTATGTTGAAAATTCCATGCTATTCGGACTGATATTACACGTCTGGTGCACAATAAAAGGCAAATCGGACGAAGATATATATGGGAGCTATATCTAAATTTTTACCGATTATCTTCAATTTCAATAGGGTTCGTCCTTGGGCCAAACAAATGTAATTTGGAAAATTTCATCTCAATCGGATAGTAAATGCGACCTGCATTTTGTTCACAAGAATACATGGACAGACGGAAGGACTGAAATGCATAAATCAACTCAGAAAGTCATTCTCTGCAGATCATCAAAAGGAACTATGGGTCTATCTCGTTTCCTTTTGCCTGTTACAAACAAATGCACAAATGTGTAGGGTATAATAAGCTCCACCGGGCCGAACTTTTGATTTTTTAATGGAATTGTCTGAAATTCTACACAAGGAGTTCTCCGTGAGTATTTTACCCTCTGAAAGAGAATTGTCTTTATAGATCCACGATATCGTATAGTACTCTAACAGTGGTGCCCCCCGATATTGTATATTTACTCCCTGGAAGAGTATTGTCTCACTACACAATATCGTGTAGACCCCCCATAAAACGGTACCTCCCTATATTCGCTTTTTTATGATTTTAGTAACAATATTCACAGGAATTATTTCATATGCCATATTTGATGTTCCTAATGGGTTCCACAGTCCATGACAGCCCCCATACAACGGAACCCCCCGATATTCAGTATTTTGATGATTTTAGCCACATTATTCCCCGGAATTGTTTCAAATTTCGTATTTGAAATTTTTAATGGGCATTACAGTCTATGGCAGTAAATTGTCTATGCTGGTCCACGTCTTCGTATAGCCCCCCTATATTCGGTATTTTTATGGTTTTACAGATATTATTCACCAGAATTGTTTCACTTTTCATATTTAGAGTTCCTAATGGGTACTACAGCCTATGACAGAAAATTGTCTATGCTGGTGCAGGTCTTCGTATTGGCCCCATATATCGGTACCCCCCAGATATTCGGCATTTTGATGATTTTACCCACATTACGCCATAATTTTATTGAATGAAAGCAAAAATGTCGGAAATAGCATCAAATTTTAGAATAAGTTTAGGTTTGTTCGAATTGGTCACCATTAGCACAAATTATGACCTTCAAACGGCCAATGAAACCGTCGCACGCTGCCCGAATGTTGCTCTGCGGTATTTTGGCACATTCCCGAAGCGAAGCGCTTGCTTGAGGTGATCGACACACTGGTATTTTTTTAGTGCCAACCTTGCTTTAAAAAATACTCCAGACACAATTGTCCAACGGATTGGTATCCTGAGATTTTGGTGGCCATTGTACGCTGGAAATGAAGCGAGGAACCTCATTTTGTAACCATTATTGGTGGCGCGTGCTGAGTGCGATGGTGCTGAGTCCTGTTGTAATGTCCAAGGTCTGCGGCCAGAATATTTTCGCGATAATATTCAGTATTTATTCTGATGCCACGGTCGATTAATACTAGCGGAGAGCGACCATCGGCTGTTATGGCGGCCCACATCATCACCATGGCCGGCGCTTGAGTTCTGGTGGCCAACCGAAGTTGCATTTTCAACTGACCTCTTTGACAAGTAAACACGATCATTTTGTTTGTTTACAAACTGCTGGACAACGGAGAAAAGCAAATTCGGCAGTTCACCACTTTCGGCCAAGCGAAGCAACTGTTTAGCACTTTTGAGTCTATTTTCTTTCTGTTGCGGTGTAAGTTCTTGTACTTTTTGGAATTTCAATGGCTTTACCCCGAGCTCATTTTTCAATATTTGCCGAATGGAATATTGCGATATGTTCAGCTCACGAGCCATTTTTCGGCCACTGCAACGCGGGTTTCGAACAAGTCGCCTCTTTACTTTTCGAACCTTTTCTGCTGATGTTGCTGTTTTCTTGCGTCCAGTACCACGGTAACGGGCGAAGTTACGAGACACAATAGATTTATTCACATTTAAATGCTGGAGTGCTCTAACGATAGCCTCTTGTGGTTTTCCAGGCAAATATAAAGAAATCACACAATCACACTTGAATTCCATCACGAATAACTTTTTCTGGAATATGCTCACCAAAAATCTTTTGTATGCTTGTAAACAATATAATGAGCAATCACTGGAATAATTTTAACAGCTGTTAAAATGACAGCATTTCAGTTTTTTTTTTTTTTATTTTTAATTTTTTTATGATTTTAGGTACAATATTCGGCGGAATTGCTTAAAATTTTTTATTTGAAGTTCCTAATGGGCACTACAGCCTGTGACAGAAAATTAAATACTCTATGCAGGTACTATTCTTTGTGTAGCCCCATATAACGGTACCTTCCTATATTTGATATTTTGATGATTTTAGCTACATTATTGTTCATCGGATTTTTGTCAAGTTTCGTTTTGGAATATTGTAATGGTTTGTCCAGATCCACGTCTTCGTATAGACCCCAATATAAATGCGACTTCTCATATTTCGGCGCTTTAACGATTTTAACAGAATTTTAACGAATTTTAATGTTTTGAAAATTTCAAAATTCTTTTAAAATGGTGGAGGGCCTCCAAAGTTCGTCCTGGCTGAACGTACATGCTTTTTTACTTGTTATATTATAATTTGAGCACCGAGGGAACCGATTTTTAATTTTTGAAATTTTATGAAAATGGCTATATCTAAAGCCATAGCTCATGTATATGTTTTAATCGATTTTATATTTAAAGCTTCCTTATAGCAATGACATTTGAGGTTTATTGTAAAAATCACATATGACAAATTTAATGGAAATCGATCAAGATCAACATATAGCTCTTATAAACAGTTCCATTCGATTTTAAAGTTCTACCAGTCGGAAGCCGTAACACGTATTATATAACGATTATAGGATATCATACTTCACATAAATTTCCAATATAAGCCTATATTCATTACGGGTGTTGGGTATCTTTGCCTGTTCTAATTACAAAATTTAATTTCTTCTTTAAAAAAATTATATTTTTCTTAAATTTAATTAATTGTGTTTTCTCTCTCTCTCTCCTCCTCTCTTTCAGGTTCATACTCGTATTATATACCTACGCCATTTGATCGTGAGCCTGGCACAGGCTCGTGATATTTCTAGAGTTCTATTAATATTTTCACATGATTTTTATGATGAAGATATTAACGATTTAGTCCAGAGTATAGACTTTTGCAAAGTAATGCAAGTGAGTAAAATTGCAGGCATTTTAAAATTCCGATTTCGAAATTTTTAATTTATTTTATAATATTTTCAGATATTTTATCCATATTCAATACAAACACATCCAAATGAATTTCCTGGCGTTGATCCGGATGATTGTCCACGTGATATTAAAAAAGATCAGTAAGTTTCAAGTTGTTGGTTTATAATTTTTGAGATTCATAATTCATTTGTAATTTGAAAATTTATTTAATTATATATTTTTTTTCGTTGTTGCAAAATAGTCAGGCTTAATCCCATTATTGTTGTTTTTATTAAAACATTTGTTTTTCTTAATTCTATTTACTTACAGAGCAATCATTCGGAAATGCAACAACGCCTTGTATCCAGACTTATATGGCCACTATAGAGAGGCCAAATTTACGCAGACCAAACATCATTGGTGGTGGAAGGCGAATCGGGTATTCGATCAGCTGGAAGTTACAAAATATCATACAGGTGATTATCTATATTGATAAAAGAGTAAAGTAATTACTGCATTACTAAAATATGGCTGGTTTTCGGAAATTTGTACCAGAACGGTACGGAATGTATTAAAAGATACTAAATATGGTACCCTTTGTATTTGAGGAACCAGTAGGGCCAGAACTCTTACATTTGGAATGAAGATCACTGATGGCGTGTATGATAGATGTACCAAAGGGTTTCAGGAAATTCGCACTAAAAGTGAACAAAAACTACTAAAATGTACTACATTTGGTACCGTTCCGTATCATGTGAACGCTTAGAGTAAAAATCTTGGAATTTGGAATGGGAATCAGGGTTGAGGAGTAGAGTCGATGTAAGGAGGTATTTCAATTTGAATGTGGAGAAACGGATGGAGCAGCAATCCTGAAATTTGAAATTAGGATTACTGGCGAAGTGTAGCACTGGGATATGGAAGAAGTTTTCGAAATTGTTGCATATGTGCACGAAAAGTAGAAAATGGTATAAAAGTTGGTAAACTTACGATTTGGGCGATCCGATAGAGCTGGGATTCTAAAATTTAGAAATGAGGCTACTATTACTTTCTAGAGCTGAGAAATGTAGGTAGTTTTGGAAATTCGAACTTATGTGTACTAAATGGTACTAAGTTTGGTACAATTCAAATTTTGGGAGTACCAATAGAGTTGGAATTCTGAAATTTAGAAATAAAATTACTATTGGACTGTCTGATATCGGTAGTTTTGGAAATTTGTACTTATATGTACTAAAATGTACTACATTTGGTACAATTTGGCTTTAGATGAAGCGATGGAGCTGGAATCCGGAAATTTGGAAAAAAAAAGATTACTGTTGGAGTGTAGGATTGGGTTATGTAGAAAGTTTTGAAAATTCGTACTTATCTGTACTAATCGATAAGTATGGAATCCTGAAATTGGGTAATAAGATTTCTTTCTTTGTTATTGAAATGTGTTCTTATGTGTACTAAATTTGGTACAATTCGGATTTGTGTGAACCGACTGGAGTTGAATCCCGAAATATGAACTTAATATTACTGTTTTATAGGATATGTAGAAGCTTTTGGAAATTTGTACTTTTGTGTACTAAATGATAATAAGTTTGGTATAAATTGGATTTGCGTGAATCTACAGCATTTTTCTGAGTTCTGGTGTTGGGGTCAGACCATTGTTTCAATGGTATTACTTGGAGCCGATCTAGCGACGTCTGTCCGTCCATCTGTCTGTCTGTCTGCTATCTAGTGCGCACGACAACTCTCGAAGGGAGTATCCGATTCGATCCAAACTTGGTACATCGTAATATTATTATGAAATTTTTGTCAAGTTCGGAGATGGGCAATATCGGGCCACACCTTCTGGTACCTCCCCCATTCAATGTCAATATTTTCATAGAAAATAATTTACCGCACAGAAAGAGAAAGGATAATCCGATTTTGCTACAACTTTGCGAATCCCAATATTTGCATCAGTGCTAGGTCAGGTGCGAGAATGGACAATATCAGCCCACTCCATCAAGTACCTCCCCCACAAAGGATCAACATTTTGAACCATTATAACTCTTATAAATAAATATATAAGTCCAGTTGTCTTCAAATTACACACATCACAATATTTGTATTAACCCAAGGTCAGATGTGAAGATGGAATATATCGGTCCACTCCTTCTGATACCTACAACAAAAGGTCAAAATTTTGAATATCCATGAAGATCAAAAAACACGAAATTAACATCCGATTCCGTTCAGACTTCGCACATCGCAATATTTCCATCAAAACAAGATGTGTTATAAAGATGGTAGAAATCGGAGCATTCCTTCTGGTACCTCCCTCACAAAGAGTCAAAGTTTAGAATAACCAAAACTATTATAAAATCCAAAATAAGCATTCGGTTCTCTGCATATTTCACACATCCCATTTTTTCTACTAATACCAATACTGCTGTGAAGATGGGATATATCGGCGCACTCTTTCTGGTACCTCCCCACAAAGAATCAATATTTTGAATATCCACGAAGCTCATAAAATGCGAAATTAACAACCGATTCCATTGAAGACTTGGTGCATCTCAATATTTCTATGAACACCAGACGTGTTATAAAGATGGTAAAGATCGGACCATTCCTTCTGATACATCCCCACAAAGGATTAAAGTTTTGAATAATCTAAAAGATTATAAAATCGGAAATAAGCATCCAGTCCAAAGGGACAACATTTTGAATTTCAACGAAGCTCATAAAACGCGAAATTATCATTCGATCGCATTCAGACTTGGTACATCTCAATATTTCCACCAATACAAGATCTGTTATAAAGATGGTGGAGATCGGACCATTTCTACTGTTACCTCCTCCACAAGGGGTCAAAGTTTTAAATAACCAAAACGATTATAAAATCCGAAATAAGCATCTGGTTCTATTCATATTTCACACATCCCATATTTTCTACTAACACCAGATCTGCTGTGAAGATGGGACATATCGGCGCACTCTTTCTGGTGCCTCCCCCACCAAGGGTCAAAATTGTGAATATCCACGAAGCTCATAAAACGCGAAATTAACATCCGATTCCATTTAAACTTGGTACATCTCAATATTTCTATCAACACAAGTTCTGCTATAAAGATGATAGAGATAGGACCATTCCTAGTGGTACATCCCCCACATAGAGTTCAAGATTTGAAATACAAAATCCGTTTTAATCTTAAAAATACCGAATGTAGCTGTTGTATTAAGGTCTAAACGACGACATGGACCTGCATAGGTAACTTTTGTCATAAGTCATTACAATATTCAAATGCGAAACTTAAGAAAATCGCTGAATAATGTAGCTAAAATCATCAAAATACCGAATATCGCGAGGTGCCGTTATATGGGGGCTATGCGAAGACGTGGACCTGCACAGATAATTTTCTGTCATAGGCTGTAGTATCCATTAAGAACATCAAATACCAAATTTGAAATAATTCCGGGGAATAATGCCGCTAAAATCAACCAAATACCGAATATCGAGAGGTACCGTTATTTGGGGGCTATACCAAAACGTGGTCCTACATGACCCATTCTCAATACCAAAAGTCCTGCGGATATAATATATATTCGAGTAAAATTTTATCCATCTACTTCAATTCGTTCGGAAGCTAGAATATGATTTCCACAGACGGACAGACGGACGGACATCGCTAAATCGACATAGAATTTTATGTTGATCAAAAATAAATATACTTTGTGGGGTCTAAAATGTATATTTCAAGGTGTTGCAAACGAAATGAGAGACTTAATATACCCTCCAAACTATGGTGGAGGTTATAAAAATGGAATACTTCGGTCGACTATATCTGGTAACTCACGCACATTTTAACATTTTCTAAAAATTATCCAAAATCGCTTATAAATTGAAGGAAATAACCAGTATAGTCCAAACCAGGCACTTCGCAATCTTTATATCATATTTATTAAGGGCCGATACGAAATGGACAATATTGGCCCATTCCTTCGGATCCTAATCTATAGAGAGCCAAAAATTTAAATAATCGAACATTGCCTTAGGGTATACATTTGTCGGCAAACCCGACTGACACATTTTAATTTTTTTTTTTTAATAATAAAAAGACTTCACAGCGTATACAGGGTTGCCCATATTCGACGGACCCATCTGGCAACGCCATAACTTTTGACAGAGATGTCACATCGCTTAATGACATACCGCGTTTGAAGCGTCACGCCACGCGAAATAGTTGAAATTTCCATTCAACAGAAGAAGTCAATTGTGAAAACTCAACGTGCTTTTAAAACATTAAAAAATGTGAGAAGTGCGCCTTCTAAGAACACCATTAAGCGTTTATACGAAAAATTTTCGACTGGTAAGACTCTTTCTAATCCGAAGAGGCCATATAAAAGTCGACCAAGGCGATCGGCCGAGAATATCGCTGCCGTACGAGCCAGTGTTGGGCATGGCTCGGTCCACTTTACAACGGATTATTCGCATTGATTTGCATTTGTTCCCGTACAAAATTCAATTGACGCAAAGAATATTGCCTGCGGACAAGCCTCGTCAATTGGAATGGGCCCAAAGGGCCCAAAGGTCCGTCGACCCTGTAGTTATAATAAAAAAAATATAATTAAAATCACAGTTAATTTAAAATAATATATCACACAACGTTATATAGGCTCTTGAAATTGAATATCTTGTGTTATCTTGTTTTATTTTTCCTATCGTATTATTTTTTTATAAGGACTGGTGCTATTCCTGGAAGAGGATCACTATGTGGCCGAAGATTTCCTATATCTGCTGGAAATGATGCAGCGGCGGACAGCAGATCTGTGTCCCCAATGTAATATACTGTCGTTGGGCACGTATTTGAAAACCTTCAACTACTACACCTACAATAGCAAGGTGAGTAAGCCAAACAAATACAAAAATTAACTAATATTACTAACAAATACACATAAAAAGACTAAAGTGACATTCAAAAAAATTTTTTAACATAAAATTAACAACAATTTCTAATTTTAAATTATGTTTTGCATTTTATGAAAATATTTTCCTTTTTTTTTGGTTGAAAAAAAAAAACAACTTTTTTAATGTGCAAAATTCATTGTTTCATTTCAAAAAAACAAACGTTAATTTTTTATTTCTCTTATAAATATGTATTTGTATTATTAAAAAAAAGAATCCAGATATTTTGGAAAAAAAACATAACCTCAAAAGTATATATATATATATATATATATATATATATATATATATATATATATATATATATATATATATATATATATATATATATATATATATATATATATATATATATTAATTTTATTGAATGAAAGCAAAACCAGTAAAGAAAGTCCTAAAGACGGGCGGGGCGGATTTTATGATACCCTACACCACCTTGCTAATTTAGTTGAGCTCCACTTAATAATTAAAAGTTTTTATGGGAGAATTCAATCACACACGCTATGATTATAATTATAATTTAAAGTTCAAAAGACTAAATATGCCGAAGCATTTGTATCTTTTAAATTCGGACTTGTATTGCCCATTTGATGCGAAATTAATTTGAAATCAGATAAAAATATATATGGGAGCTATATCCAAATCGGAACCGATCTCGATAAAATTTGGCAAAGATCTTTCTGAACTGTATTTGATATATTTCCCCAAATATTGTTGTTACAGGGTGCATATTACGGCTGCGGAGTACAAAAATAACAAATCGGATGAACAATATATATGGGAGCTATAGCTATATCTGAACCGATTTCGATCAAATTTGGCGTACTTATTTTCAGACCTAATTTGGTTGTATGTGAAAAATTCCATACTATTCGGTCTGATATTACACGTTTGGTGCACAATAAAAGGCAAATCGGACGAAGATATATATGGGAGCTATATCTAAATTTTTACCGATTATCTCCAATTTCAATAGGGTTCGTCCTTGGGTCAAACAAATGATTTGTGCACAGTTTCATCTCAATCGGATAATAAATGCGACCTGCATTTTGTTCACAAGAATACATGGACAGACGGAAGGATGGACGGACTGACATGCATAAATCAACTCAGAAAGTGATTCTATGCAGATCATCAAAAGGAAGTATGGGTCTATCTCGTTTCCTTTTGCCTGTTACAAACAAATGCACAAAGACATAATACCCTGACCACCTTGTGGTGTAGGGTATAAAAATGTCGGAAATAGCATAAAATTTTAGAATAATTTTAGATTTGGTCGAATCGGTCACCTTTGGCAGGAATTATGGCCTTCAAACGGCCAATGAAACCGTCACACGCTGCCCGAATGTTGCTCTGCGGAATTTTGGTCCATTCCCTGCGAAGCGCTTGCTTGCGGTGATCGACACTTTTGTTTTTAGTGCCAACCTTGCTTTCCAAAATACTCCAGACACAATAGTCCAACGGATTGGTATCCGTAGATTTTGGTGGCAATTGTGCGCTGGAAATGAAGCGAGGAACCTCATTTTGTAACCATTCTTGGGTGGTGCGTGCTGAGTGCGTTGGTGTTGAGTCCTGTTGGAATGTCCAAGGTCTGCGGCCAAAATATTTGCGTGCCCAAGGTTTTAATACACCCTCCAGAATATTTTCGCCATGATATTCGGCATTTATTCTGATGTCACGGTCGTTTAATACGAGCGGAGAGCAACCATCGGATGTTATGGCGGTCCACACCATCACCATGGCCGGCGCTTGAGTCCTGGTGGCCAACCGAAGGTGCACATTTTCGGCTGACCAAGTAAACACGATCATTTCGTTTGTTTACAAACTGCTGGACAACAAATGTTTTCTCATCGGAGAAAACCAAATTCGGCAGTTCACCACTTTCGGCCAAGCGAAGCAACTCTTTTGAGTCCATTTTCTTTCTGTTGCGGTGTAAGTTCTTGCACTTTTTGGAATATCAAAGGAATATTGCGATATGCTCAGCTCACGAGTCATTTTTCGGCCACCGCGACACGGGTTTCGATCAAGTCGCTTCTTTACTTTTCGAACCATTTCTGTTAATGTTGCTGTTCCACTTTTCGGAATTTCAATGGCTTTACCCCGAGCCCATTTTTTCAATATTTGAAGCGAGGAACCTCATTTTGCAACCATTCTTGGGTGGCGCATGCTGAGTGCGATGGTGCTGAGTCCTGTTGGAATGTCCAATGTCTGCGGCAAAAATGTTTGCGTGCCCAAGGCTCTAATACACCCTCCAGAATATTTTCGCGATAATATTCGGCATTTATTCAGATGCCACGGTCGATTAATACGAGCGGAGAGCGACCATCGGTTGTAATGGCGGCCCACACCATCACCATGGCCGGCGCTTGAGTTCTGGTGGCCAACCGAAGGTGCACATTTCAGCTGACCTCTTTGCCAAGACCATTTGGTTTGTTTACAAACTGCAGAATAAGGAATGTTTTCTCATTGGAGAAAACCAAATTCGGCAGTTCACCACTTTCGGCCAAGCGAAGAAACTCTTAAGCTCTTTTGAGTCTATTTTCTTTCAGTTGCGGTGTAAGTTCTTGCAATTTTTGGAATTTCAATGTCTGCTGTCATTTTTCAATATTTGCCGAATGAAATATTGCGATATGTTCAGCCTACGAGCCATTTCTCGGCCACTGCAAAGCAGGTCGCTTCTTTACTTTTCGAAACAATTCTGCTGATGTTGCAGTTTTCTTCCGTCCACTTCCACTTTTCGGAATTTCAATGCCTTTACCCCGAGCTCATTGTTCAATATTTGCCGAATGGAATATTGCGATATGTTCAGCTCACGAGCCATTTTTCGGCCACTGCAATGCGGGTTTCGATCAAGTCGCTTCTTTACTTTTCGAAACAATTCTGCTGATGTTGCAGTTTTCTTCCGTCCACTTACACTTTTCGGAATTACAATAGCTTTACACCGAGCTCATTTTTCAAAATTTGCCGAATGGAATATTGCGATATGTTCAGCTCATGTGCCATTTTCCGGCCACTGCAACGCGGGTTTCGATCAAGTCGCTTCTTTACTTTTCGAACAATTTCTGCTAATGTTGCTGTTCCACTTTTCGGAATTTCAGTGGCTTTACCCCGAGCTCATTTTTCAATATTAGCCGAATTTAATATTGCGATATGTTCAGCTCACGAGCCATTTTTCGGCCACTGCGACGCGGGTTTCGATCAAGTCACTTCATTACTTTTCCAACCATTTCTGTTTATGTTGCTGTTCCACTTTTCGGAATTTCAGTGGCTTTACCCCGAGCTCATTTTTCAATATTAGCCGAATTTAATATTGCGATATGTTCAGCTCACGAGCCATTTTTCGGCCACTGCGACGCGGGTTTCGATCAAGTCACTTCATTACTTTTCCAACCATTTCTGTTTATGTTGCTGTTCTCTTGCGTCCATTTCCTTGACGTCGTGCTACGCTACCAGTATCACGGTAACGAGCGATGGTACGAGACTCAAAAGATTTATTCACATTTAAATGCTGGAGTGCTCTAACGATAGCTACTTGTGGTTTTCCAGCCAAATATAAAGAAATCTCACTATCACGCTTGAATTCCATCACGAATAACTTTTTTTCTGGACAATTCTCACCAAAATGCTTTTGTAGGCTTGTAAACAATATAATGTGCTGTCACTGGATTAATTTTAACAGCTGTCGGACGAGAGGTTTAGAAATGACAGAAGTCTGAAGTTGGTTGCAGTTTTTTCATCTCACCCTGTAGTAGTCGTATCGACGCAGCTGTTGGAGCAATAAACTGTCAAACCAATTTTGGAATTCAAATTTTTGAATGAATTTTTTTTCAACTTTGTAGAAATTTAAAAAAAATGCATATCAAAAACAACCTCCAATTGGGCTCGTATAGGAAAACATGTGTACGTCTACTTATTTTTGAAGAAACCTTTAATTTTTTTTTGGCATATCAATGTTCCTAGACGTTGATGCATCTGCCTGTATTCTTCTACCATGCCTCAAATGAATCCCACTAGATTAGAGACGTATACGCAATGGATATGACAGTTGAAATCCGCTCGCCTTTGTAAGTGTAAAAGTACTCTAAGAGTCAGTCACTCAAGGTGCCTTAATTTCCCACAATTCAAACAAAATATCTGGATTCTACTTTATATCTGTATTTATTTATTAACAACAACAATGACATTTCTCTCTTTCTTAATTTTTTTTTTAATACTATATAAATATTTCCTTGTCCTTTGTAAACAAAAAAACATTTGATGTGTTTTACATGTCTGTTTATTTTATTTCCCCTAAAAAAAAATAATTTTCTAAAACAAAAATCAAAAAAAAAAAAAAAAAATCATCACCGGTTTGTGCGTGTCTGTGCCTGAATTCGTTTGTGTAACGTGTAAAATTCGCGTGCCGTACGACATTTCTAATCCCTCCTCCACCATCATCATTACGTTTCCCCCACCCCTTTTTTTTTGTTTTTCTTATCCATTGAATATAGTCCAAGCAGAAATCATTTAGCAATGCTGCGCCAGCATCTACTTCGCTGTTGTCGTCTAACAATCTCTTAGGATATCATAGGAATAGAAAATCACTACAAATATCATCGCAAACAGCTTTAAAGACATCATCCAATAACAATAACAACAACTACAACAACAATAACAATCATAAATTCTATAATGAACAAAAGACAAAAACTAGTCAGAATTTGAAATCATATGTGGGTGATACAAATCCCAATTCACAACAACAGCAACAACAACATGGCACCTCTTCTCTCATCACAACCTCAGCGAGCACCACAACCAAAAGCACTTCTCAAACTCAGGGTGCACAACAGACGTGGAGTTATCATGTCTTGCCATCATTGTATTCTGTCTATCAGAAGGTATAACTATCTCTCCTCTCTCTCTCTCTCTCAGTCTCTCTTTTTTCTCTTTATTTAAATCACAAAAAGTAAATATATTAGATTCCATTATTTTTCTTCCATTTGTTTGTATTATATTATATTGTATGTGTAAAATATTGCTCATTCTCTCCCTCTCTCTCTCATATTTTATATTAGTTTAGTTTGTAAAAAAGAAAACATTATCTTTTAAAACTGAAATCCATATTTTCACCTGCACACATTCAAATACTTATGTAATGTCATTTAAATTCCCTTACATTTAGGTGTTATCATCATCAGCCGTCAATTCATTAACTGCATTAACATTTCATAAGATCTACTCACTCTCTCTCTCTCTCTCTCTCGCGCTCTCGGAACAGTTTGAAGTACTTCAATCATAGACAAATAAAGGTATAGACATAGACACATGAAAATATAGACAACGAAATGCTCTCGCCGTTTATCTTCGAAAAAAATCGGATCAGCAGAGGTCGACTATATCGTTTCAATTTTGAAGTCACTCAATTCAAAAATGTTTAAAAAAACAAAAACTGTAGGATATTTGTCTGTTGAAAATTATTTCATAATAAAAGAAATGTGAAAAGTACGTTATGACATCGAAAAATATGGGAAAATTCCAGTGAAATTCTTGAAAAACCATAAAATGTGTTTTCGAAGTCGAGTGGATTGAAGGCGTAAATCAGCATATTGGCTATGCAAAACAAGACAAGATATCCCCTCTTTCACATCTTTTTTTGATATTTTAGGATTACGATTTCATGACATACATGTAATTCAGGTATACAGTGTCTTCGGCAACATTACACATAATAATTCCAGGATTATTTTGGTGATCAATTTTAACCCTCAAGCGAGTCAACAAAGGGGTGTTTTTGGTGCTTTTTGAAAATATACATATTTCTTTGTAATAAAATTCTAATCTGGGCCCTAAAAGAAGTCAAAAGCCTAAGTCTTACCTTAACGCCAGGAATTCATATATATATCTATACATAGTATCAGTCGATTTTGTCGACAGATGTATACCCCTAGCTTCATTTGGTATATATTACGTACCTGTTGCACAATAAACGTGAAATCGGCATATGCTATATTTAAATATGGACCGATTATGACCATTTTCAATGGTGTTTCTCCTTGAGCCGAAAGAACAGTGTGTGCAACATTTCAACTTAATTGAACAATAAATGCGACATGTAGTTTCCTAACAAAAATACATGGTCAGACCGACAGAATCTATGAGCCGCCTTTCGTTATGATTAATCAAACTGTTGACCCTCTATGGGGGAATTTCGGAAGAAATGGGTTAATATACAGGGTGAGATAAAAAAACTGCAACAAATTCAAACGCCGTAATTTTTACATTTTTTTTATTTTATTGAATGAAAGCAAAAAATGTCGGAAATAGCATCAAATTTTAGAATAAGTTCAGATTTCTTCGAATTGGTCACATTTGGCACGAATTATGGCCTTCAAACGGCCAATGAAACCATCACACGCTGCCCGAATGTTTCTCTGCGGTATTTTGGCCCCTTCCCGGCGAAGCGCTTGTTTGAGGTGATCGACACTTTGGTATTTTTTAGTGCCAACCTTGCTTTTCAAAATTCTTCAGACACAATTGTGCAATGGATTGGTATCCGAAGATTTTGGTGGCCATTGTCCGCTGGAAATGAAGCGAGGAACCTCATTTTGTAACCATTCTTGGGTGCTGAGTGCGAAATATTTGCGTGTTCAAGGCTTTAATAGGCAAGGCTTTTATTCTGATGTAGATTAATACGGGCGGAGATCGACCATCGGCTGTTATGGCGGCCCACACCATAACCATGGCCGGCTTGAGGCTTGAGTACTCGTGCAGTTAAACACGATCATTATGTTTCTTTACAAACTGCTGGACAACGAATGTTTTCTCATCGGAAAAAACCAAATTCGGCAGTTCACCACTTTCGGCCAAGCGAAGCAACTGTTTAGCTCTTTTGAGTCTATTTTCTTTCTGTTGCTGTGTAAATTCTTGCACTTTTTGGAATATCAATGGCATTACGTCAAGCTCTAAATGTCCCATTCGGTAAATATTGAAAAATAATATTTACCCAATGGGACATTGGAATATGTTCAGATCACGAGCCATTTTTAGGCTATGCTGGAGTGCTCTCACGATAGCTATTTGTGGTTTTTCACCCAAAAATATAAAAAAACATACTATCACGCTTAAATTCCATCACGAATAACTTTTTTTTTGTTCGCTTGTAAAGCTGTCACTGGAATAATTTTAATAGCTGTCGGACGAGTGGCATACAAATGACAGTAGTCTGAAGTTGGTTGCAGTTTTTTCATCTCACGCTGTATATACATTCTTCATCAGCAGAAAATTGTCGATATAGCGATTTTAATTCGTCTATCTGTGGAAATCACTATAGCTTTCGAACGAAATGGAGTAGGTAGATACAATTTTACTCAGATGTGTTTTAGGTCTTCAGGACTTTTGGTATTGAAAATTATCCACATTTTGATATAAATTCCATTAATCTGTACCGCCAGAAGTACAGTTGTGGTTGTTTTAGTCATTCTTTTGTAAATTGGCAGTATGTTCCCCAGAATGTAGGACAATTCGGAGCTTGGTGTGACCAATGGGTAATACTTCCTATGACAGATAAATCTCCTTACAGATCCACGCCTTCGTATAGCCAAGGCTAAATTATTCAACAGAATTATCTCCAACTTGGTATTTGGAGTTCTTAATGGGCTCAGATAATTGGTTGCAAAGATCCACATTTTCTTATGGCCCCATATAAATGTAACACCTGGTATTCGGAATTTTAAAAAATTAAGCGGCAATTATCAAATTTCCAAACTAGTTTCAAAAAATTGCAAAACTTGCAGATTCTTGCAGGTTCTGTAACAGAGCATGTATTTCCAATTTTTTTGTATCGAAAAAAAAATTGGCAAGTGTCTCTCCAGTAGAATTAAATTCCGAATAATACTAAATGTCAAAAGATGTTCAATTAAATCAGAAGAATGATTCTTCAAAATCATTTATCAAAAATCTAAAAGTCAATTATGGAAGGATATCCAATTTTAATTTCAGCATTAACTCGACGAAATATTATCAAAAAGCTTTGTTCTCTCAAAATAATTCGACGTTTGGTGGCATAGATATGCTTAAAACAAATTTAAAAATAAACTTTCAAAACATGATATTTCTCCACAAAAAAAAACAGGTTCGAACCGTGCTACTGTATGGCGTTCCCATTGTCTCACTGTACATGGAGGGTCTCGAACGCTTATGTTTGGCCCAAATATCAAATATGCTGCTCAAGAAATTCAGTTACAACGAAATACATAATCGTCGTGTCGCCTTGGGTATAACATGCATCCAGTGTACCCCACTGCAGCTGGAATTATTGCGACGGGCCGGTGCTATGCCAATAACATCGCGTCGTTGTGGCATGATAACGCGGCGTGAAGCAGAACGGCTATGTAAAAGCTTCATTGGCGACAATAGTCCACCACGTCTGCCGAAGGATTTTGCATTTGCCGTCTATCACAAATGTTCGTGGGGATGTAGGGGTCTGTTCATGCCCATTCGATATAATTCGTCGAGGGCCAAATGTATAAAATGTCAATATTGTAATATATTTTTTACACCGAATAAATTTATATTTCATTCACATCGTGATGGAAATGAGGGTGAAGGTGCGCAAGTAGGACAGGCGAAGTATGTCCAGCCAGTGGCGGCAAATTTTAATTCATGGCGAAGACATCTTTTGCTGGCCGGTAATCCAACCCGCGAACTTGCCCATGTATGGGAAGATGTGAAGGCTTTGTTTAATGGCGGTATACGGAAGCGTATGTCGTCTTCGCAATTTGTTTTTAAAAAAGATACACCAAGCTCAACAATAACCAGGACTTGTATTGGAGAACAAGAAGAGGTTCTAGAGACAACAAATAAGACAATAAAATCCTCCAATCACTTAGCTGATTCACCAAATCAAACCACTTCACACAATGTGACAGCTGAATTAGTGTTGCCGTTATGGAAATCCTCCTCAGGACATAATCTGGCCGATAACAAACCGAGTGATATTTATCGGTCTACAACTCAGAATACAGATGGCGTAGCTGGAAATGAAGGTCACCTTTGCGGAATTCGCAATTACTCATCCTTGATGACCAACTATATGTATCACCTGGATTCCAATAATTTATTTTGGAAAAATCCAACCACCCTCCTGGCGAATAGCCAAATTATTAACAATTTTTATATACAAAATAATCATATTACTGGATTGGAACTAGTCACCCCCAGAACTGAACGAAAACCACTTTTGAAGAGCCCACCACAGGAGACTTTAGCTTCATTGTCGGCCTTTAAGTCTGGTGATAATTCCTTGTCACCTCCTTTACCACAAATTCAAATAAAGGATAATTTTAAAATTTCGCCAATTACCGATAACAAAATTTGGAAGATCTCTTCAGAAAGCTATAAAACTAAAGCCCAATCTGAGATCGCAACTTCGGTAGGAAGCATTTTGAAATTCACTGGAAATCTCAAACCACATGAAGATATTTTGGATGTAGAAAGTTTCGATAGTTCCCCGACATATTCTCCCTTTAAGTATGAACTCCATACTTCTCCACTAGGCGAGAATATACCGTCCGAGGATAGCAACAGTAATGACGTATTTATCAACGTCGTGGATGATCAAAATGAAGATTAAAAAATCCTTGATGAGAGAGAAATCGTCAAGGCAAACATAAACCATATACAATATCAACAATTTAATGAAAAAAAAAAAATAAATAAATGAATTTGTTCTACCAACCGCTTCAGTAAAATAAGATTCTAAAAAAAAACACAAATTTAAAAAAGCTCCAAATATTCGCGGAGAATGCCTTCCTATGGAGTTCTTATTTGCTACATAATACATCATTTAATTCACCAGTTACATTTTGGAATACAATGAAAATAAAACAAGTAAGAAAAC